GCCCCAGGATGACTATTCGGTCCTGTTTGAAGACACCTCCTATGCAGACGGCTACTCCCCACCCCTCAATGTGGCCCAGAGGTACGTGGTGGCATGTAAGGAGCCCAAGAAGAAGTGAGGCCACTGGCAGACCTGCGTCTTCTACATGAGATTCTCTGTGACCCAATAAACATCTCTGTCCCCTTGCCGTGTCGTCCAGCTCCTGCCTCGTCCCTCTCCAGACCCCCTTCCCTCTCCAAACGGGGCGTGTGGGGGAACTCGAGGCATATGGGAGAACTCTCAGGGCTGTAGGGAACTCAGGGCTGCAGGGGGAGAACTCAGGGCTGCAGGAGGAGAACTTGGGGCATGTGGGGGAACGCGGGCTGCAGGAGGAGAACTCGGGGCTGCAGGGGAGAACTCAGGGCTGCAGGGGGAGAACTCGGGGCATGTGGGGGAACGCGGGCTGCAGGAGGAGAACTCGGGGCTGCAGGGGAGAACTCAGGGCTGCAGGGGGAGAACTCGGGGCATGTCGGGGAACGCGGGCTGCAGCGGCAGAACGAGCACAGCTTCCTTGTGGCTTCTCAGAGGCCCTCGTCCAGCACAAAGCACACTTTATTCACTGTACTCCTGAGACCACGCAGACTCGCCGTCCGCCCTCTCTCTGGAATGACACTGCTCACAGCTGTAAGCGGAAGTTGAGCTCCGAGCCGGCCATCTTCTCTGCATAGTGGGTGTCAAAGCGCTCATTCTGGGCCACAGTGAAGGTGCGCTTCCAGTCCCCCGTGATGCCTGAGGGAGGGAGAGGGAAAAGTGGGAGTCCGGCCCCAGGGGAGACCCAGTCAGCTGGGGTCGGTCTGCTCCTGCCCTGCCGTCCCCGACAGCCCAGCCATCGCAGGCAGGCGGCACGTGCTGACCTTTCCTCATGAAGGCGGAAATGTTATGGTCCATGACCTCCGTGGGCACGGTGCTGTAGTTAGTCATGGGGTTCTTCTTCATCTCCTTGAACGACGTGCTCTGGGCAATGTGGTCTATGGTCTCCTCGGGCAGGGAGCGTCCCAGAAACGTCAGGATCTTCCGAATCTCCCTTTTGGGGTCCTGGAAGGGCAGAGCACTCCTGAGTGCAGGTTTGGGTTGCTTGCTGGGCAGAAAAGTGCAGCTGCTCTCTAGCCCCTCAGGGGGTCGGTCCACTGCCACTTAGCAACCTCTTGGGGCTCCGGGACCCTGGTCCTCTGCCCATGCTCCTCTGTGTGGGCTCATCGGGGAGGCCAGGAGCAACCTCTGCCCTCACTGGCCCTGCAGCTTGGTCCAGTGCATGTCAAGTGCCGGGAGAAGTGACAGCAATAAGGACCTGACCGGTGGCTGACCCTATAGCTAGCTCAGCACTAGTTCACTGAGACTGCTGCAGAAGCAGAGGGACCAGCAGGTCTGCATGAAGGGGCAGGGAGCTGAGGGGCAGCGGGTCCTCCTGGCATTCCTGCCTCCCAAGGCGTGACCACGGAGGGCATGGGTGGTCTCACCTCCTTCATGTCCTCGTAGAAGAGGTAGAGTACAGGGTGGGTCTGGCTCAGCTTCCACCACTCCTGCACGTGCTGGTACCAGGGCCCATAGGACACTAGGGAAGGGGGGCCGGGCAGCAGTGGTTAGTTTCGGCTGGATGTCCCGGGGCTGCCCCTGGCCACAGTTGGGCTTACCTTCCCCCGCCATGAACTTCTCCAGGAAGTCATCCCAGGTGCCGGGATCAGGGTGCACCTTGGCCATCTGGTAGAAGTGGTAGTAGGAGACGGCCACGTCCTTGGCGTTGCGGGCCACGTAGATCACCTGGATGGGCAGCGACAACCCCAATGCCAGGACCCCCTCCTTGTCAGGCTCCTGCCAGGGAGCCCTCTGGTGGTCAGCAGCCCATGTGCAGCGCACCCCACCCCCACCCCACTCCCGCCCCAGCGCCTCAGCTGTAGCCAAGGGCAGAAACAGGCAGTGAGGCAGGACCCCCAGTGAGGAGGGCGGAATCAGCCGTCATAGCCCCCTGCTCCCCAGAAGCAGGCTCTACTACCCTTGGCCCCGATTAGCACCCTCCACCTAGATCTGAGCAAGCTGGACACCCCCACTTCCCACCAGGCCTGCGGGCACCCTGACTGCTGTGTTGGGTCTGCACTGGGCAGGTTTCACGTGATAGGGTCTTCCCCCACGAAGGTGAGACACCACTCACAGCGTTTGGAGACCACCCTAGAGGAACAGCCAGGGCCGAGATGGCCCTGCAGCTGCCTCCCTGGGCCCCTCTGTACTCACTTTGACCTTCTGGTCTAGCAGACTCTGAGGGATCAGGGCCAGCGGCAAGTGCGTCTTGAGGAGCCGGGGGGCTGATGTATCCTTCAGCGACTCCATCCCTGAGGCAAAGGGAGGGTCAGGCCCCGAGGTCTGGAGCCTCGGTCCTTGGTACCCCACCCCTCCTTCCACCCGACCCTGGCACCCACCCCCATACCTGAGGGGATCCCTGGGGCCTTGAACTCCAGGAAGGGCACCCGGATAAAGATGGGGGCCCGGCGGCACTTCTCCAGATCGCCGCCCTGATAGATCATGTCCAGGATCTCACTCACCCAGGTGGTCCCTGTGGAGGGAGGGAAGAGCATGCCCTGCTGGCCCAGGGTGGGCACTTGGGCCCTAATGCGGGTGGGGGTGGGGAGGGGCCTACCAGATTTGGGGTAGGTGCTGATCAGCAGGTCATCAGGCCAGGCTTCAAAGTTCTGCAGAGGGCCCAAGGCCTCTGCGAAGTACTTGATGAGCGGGACCCCCTTCACGTATTCCAGGGGGGCGCGGCAGATGTCCTGGACCAGCTCCATGCTTCCCTGAAAGTAGCACAGCAATGCCCCCGGGTGAACCTGCCTGCCTTTTAAAACAAGGGCGGGGCTCACCCAAGCTCACCCAGCTGGGCTCGCTCCAGGCCAGAGGTGGGGAACACCCTAGTGCCCAGGCCATACCACACCCAATGGAAATCACTCTGGGAGTGGAAAAAGGCCCCACGAGGCACTCGGCTACCAACCCCCAGGCCAGTGGTTCAAATCCACCTGCAGGTCAGATGGCTGCAGGTGGAGATGGGACAATGGGCTTCCCCAAGGATGGCAGCATTGGAGATCCTCTGGAGCCCTGCTTCTGTGCCCTGCATTAAAAAAAACCCCTCCAGTTTCCAAAGTGCAGGTGGGAAAGTGCGGATGCTGGAGCCTGTTGTGCCACTCCACCCGATCTCGTGCCTCTTCCTGCAGTGGCACTCCACCGGCCCCTTTCAATCTCATGCCTCTTCCTGCAGCGGTGCCCAGCTGTGACCATTCTTGCCAAATACCGAGCTCCCAGGCCCTGCCCTTGGGAAGCCTCCCCCTGCCGGAACTGGATCCCACTCTAGCCTGGCTCAGGGGTAAACACACTCCAATTGGGCAACCGAGGTTGTCTGTGTAGCAACCAAACTTGGCGGGAGAGGAGAGGGGGCCGGAGGCCAGGAGTGAACGGTGATGGGATGTGAGGGGGCGCTGGTGAAGCAGCAGGGCGGATCAGGAAGCCCCTGCTCTCTAGGGTCAGTGGTGGCTGGCCGCTGGCTGAGCAGCGGCTGGCCCCGCCTGCCCCGCCTGGGTACTCACCTGGCCCTTGTGCGAGCTTCCAAGGGCTGCGGCAGCCTGTGTGCAGGGTGCTTCCGAGTGGAGTACTTCTGCGGAGTACTTCTGCGTGGGAGGGATCGGGGACTTGGCTGCCCTCTCAGAAGGAAAGGGTGGAGTTTGGGGTGGGAGGACCCTAAGCTGCTCTCCTTCACAGCTGGCTGGAGGCCAAGTTTAGGCTGGCTGGAACAGCCCACTCCAAGCTTGAAAGTCAGCAGAAGGGCCCAGCCCTTTTTTTTTTTTTTAAATAATCATTTTGTTAGGGGCTCATACAACTCATCACAATCCGTACATACGTCATTTGTGTCCAGCACATTAGTACATATGTTGACTTCAACATTCTTACAACACCCGCTTTCCACTTGAGCCCCTGGTGTCAGCTCATTTTTCTCCCTCCCTCCCTGCTCCCCCCTCCCCCTGAACACTTGATAATTTACAAATTATATTATCATATCTTACCCCATCCAACATCTCCCTCACCCACTTCTCCACTACCCATCCCCCAGGGAGGAGGCCATATGTAGACCTTGTCATCTGTTCCCCCTTATCCCTCACCTTCCCTCCACCCTCCCGCTATCGCCACTCTCCCCACTGGTCCTGTGTGTGTGTGTGTGGGGTTCATCTGTCCTGGGTTCACTGTATTTC